CGTGTCCTTCATCCATCCATCCGTGTCTGACCTACCATCCGTGTACTTCATCCATCCATCCGTGTCTGACCTACCATCCGTGTCCTTCATCCATCCATCCGTGTCTGACCTACCATCCGTGTCCTTCATCCATCCATCCGTGTCTGACCTACCATCCGTGTCCTTCATCCATCCATCCGTGTCTGACCTACCATCCGTGTCCTTCATCCATCCATCCGTGTCTGACCTAACATCCGTGTACTTCATCCATCCATCCGTGTCTGACCTAACATCCGTGTACTTCATCCATCCATCCGTGTCTGACCTAACATCCGTGTACTTCATCCATCCATCCGTGTCTGATCTAACAGCCATGTACTTCATCCATCCATCCGTGACTGACCTAACATCCGTGTACTTCATCCATCCGTGTCTGACCTAACATCCGTGTACTTCATCCATCCATCCGTGACTGACCTAACATCCGTGTACTTCGTTTTTCACCACGGAAAAGCTAAGCGTGCTCTCACACAGCATCTGACACCCAGGCAGAGCTCTTCCCACTCTCCGCACCTTGCCTACCTGTGGAACTCAGCAATGTACTTGGTAAATACGTTGACTTACCACTTTCTTTGTTCTATAACTAATAAAAACTTCATGCAACCACGTCCAGAGTGGACACGTGGTATTTGGGGGAACCTGAATCTGTGTTTCTGGGACATGCTCGCTCGTACTTGGCTCTGGAGTAAACCATCTCTTACTCTCTTTGAGGTGAGAGCTGTATTTTTGCATCAACAAGTCTTTTGCTAAACAAAGAGGAATCTACAAACTTCACATATGGAATCTACAGGCTTCACGTAGGAAAAGTATTAAAAACTGAGAGATTTTCATCCCAGCTCACACACATAATTTCCTTGAGGCCCCTGAGCTGCTCACACACCTGTCCTGAGAGTTTGGAAGAAAGCAGATGGCTTCCTGGCAACTATCACTGGAGCCTTTTCCAATCACAATAGCTCAGCTCTGACTGGGAAAGTCAGACAGACTTTGGATGAACAGAAGGTATGGGCCATGCACAAAACTTCTACTGAGCCTTTCCCAACAACAGCAAGACAACTGTCCATCTGCAGGATTACAACATGACTTAAAAAGGAGGAATGCCACGCCCATGGAGGGGTATGCACTACTCCAGGAGGAGCATCTCAGCTGCTGTGCTGAGGAAGGACACTGAGCCAACTGTGAGGACAGCTGTTTAAGACTCTTGCAAGCAAGAAGTAAATCTTTGTGTCCTAAGCTTAAAAAAATCCAAACCCTGCTGGGCATGGTGGTGGACGCCTTTACTCCCAGCACTTGGAAGGCAGAGACAGGTGGATCTCTTGTGAGTTCAAGGCCAGCCTGGTTTACATAGTGAGTTCCAGGCCAGCTGGGGTTACGGGGAGACCCTGTCTCAAAAAGACCAAAAAAAAAAAAAAAATCCAAACCCAGTTGCACATTCCTATAATCCCACCATTTGGGATGTGGAGTGTGCTGGATAGCTTTAGTATCAACTTGACACACCTGGGTTGAGGGAGCCTCAACTGGGGAATTGCTTTCCTTGGATTGGCCTGTGGCTATGTCTGTGGGGCATCTTCTTGACTGTTGAGTGATGTGGGAGGGCCCTGCCCACTGTGGGTGTATAAGAAAGCAGGCTGAGCAGGGGCCAGGGGAGCCAGCTAGTAAGCAGCATTCCTCCATAGCCTGTGCTCCAGCTCCTGCCTCCAGGTTCCTGCCCTGAGTTCCTACCTTGGGCTCCCTGATGAACTGCAACCTGGGAGATGTAAGCCAAATAAACCCTTTCCTCTCCATGTTGGTATTGGTCAGAGTGTTTTGTCACAGCAATGGAGACTAAAACTAGAACATGGAGGCAGGAGAATCAGGAGTTCAAGGTCATCCTCAGTAACATAGCAAGTTAGAGGCTACCAGACAAGAAGCAAGTTCTGCTTTGCCTGCATAACCGTTGTACCTCACAGTGCCCAGGAGGTGGCTCAGAGCACACTGGGTACGCACAGGCACACTCACGCAAGATTATCAATCAGTGCACTCCTCAGGGGGACACATTCCAGGTCTCTGAATCCATAGGCAGTACATCCTCCCTGTTGCCACACGGCCCCCTGAATTTCAAGACCTGGTACCTCCTTCCTGTCACCACTCCTCTGCTTTAGAGCCACTGTTAAATGAGATGAGGCCCCTTGAACACAAGCACTAAGGCACTGTGGGCCGGCGTGAATACCAAGACGGTGCTGAGTGACTCACAGGATGGAAACGAGGTGTCCGCTAGACAGAGCGATCTGGGTCAAGGGAGTGGAGCAAGCTGGGGTTTCATCACCTTCTCTGAGGGTTCACAAGCAGTACTGTTTAATGTTCTGTTTAATATTTTTACACTGCATCTGACTGGGTCAAAGGACTGTACATGAAGCGGGGGGGGGGGTCACCATGATGAACATGGGTTTGGTGAGGGGCCTGGTTGGCCACCCCTGGTGGCCCACAGTGGCTTCTTCCAGAGATGAGAGCCATGTGAGAGCTGACCCCGTAGGCTGATCCCTGCACTTAGCAGCATCATGTCCTGCTCTCTAAAACCCAGGCCCAAGGAACTGTGGCTCTGTGTGCATTCTGCCTAGGTAAGAACCTCAGAAACGTACACTGATCTGCACGTACACTGATCAGCACGTACACTGATCTGCACATACACTGATCAGCATATACGACCAGGCAAAGGAGCACCAGGGCCACATGCCACTGGGCCCTGCAGAGTGCCACCACGGGCTCCTAGCCATGCCAGATGAGAGGGACACTGTCCTAGTAGACAAGACATTTGACTCTGTGGCTTCAAGGTTCTAGTCACACGCTGGGGACTGTGTGGAGAGGATTTGCCACACAGGGCACCGGGTCAGGGGACGGAGCGGGAGGGCACCTCCTACATGAGTGGGCCATGAGGCTTGGATCACTGCATCACTGCTCTCCCTGATGTCTGTCTCTGTCTCTCTCTGTATGTGTGCTGCACACATGAGGCTGCATACATGCATCATACACATTCCAAATGAGCATATACCACACACCCACCACCATACGCATTATGAAATATTTTTTAAAAGAATGAAAAAAAATGACAGGATAAATGTAGGTCGGGCTCTGCCAGCACCTGGCCCTCAGCAGCTTACCCTGGGCTTCCAGCTCTTGGAGTGGTTCCACCACCAGAAGGCCGTCGGCCTGCATGACACCAGGGGGGACAGAGGTGCCTCAGGGTTACCTACATGCAGGCTTGCCCTCACGGCCCCAGGTGCTGTCACCTGGAGGGAAGATGCAGGACACAGGCTCTGCTGTGAGTGTAGCAGCATGCTGGGAGGTGGGATGGGCACTTTGATGCAGGACACCTCCATCAGGAGCACACATCAGCTGAGGCCTCTCTGCAAGCTCTAAGAAGGGCCCATGGAAATGCGGCTGAACATGTCTACTGAAACAGCCACCACAGGGGAAAGGCCAGGTTGAGGACACCACAGCGGGGTGTCCTTGTGGAGGCTCTGCAGCCCGATGAGTGTGAGAGGAGAGTCAGCCTCTTGGTCCTGGGCTCTAGCCTGGTGCTATGGTTTGTGGTGCTACGGTTCAGCTCTCAACTGTCTCCTAAAGACCGTGTATTAGAAGCTTGGCCCCCAGACAGGTACTACTTTAAAGAGGTGGGACACAGTGAGAGGTTCTGGGGGTGTCTCTGAAGGGATTGGTACCCTGGCCTTTCCTCTGATGAGGGGCTGATGAGGTGACTGGTATACTCAGCCACATGCTCGTGCCATAATGTGCTGCCTCTACACAGACCCAAAGCAACGGGCTCAACCCTGGACTGAAACTGTCAGAACCATGAGCCTAACTAAGGAAACCTTTCCTCTTTGTAAGTTGTTGCCTCACACATTTGTTACAGTGATGGGAAACTTATTACTACACCTAGCTACGGGAACAACCTGGGGCTCAGGGCTAAGCACCACAGTGCCCTGGGGTCAACAGTGGGTTAGTCCCTTGCTAGGAGTTGAGAAATATGAGGGAAAGGACACACTAGGCTTAATCCTCAGTCCCAGCCCAGGATGAGACACCAGGTCCTACACCTCCAGTTACCCATCTGTTACAAAGTCCAGGCAGAAAACGTCAATGAACTTCCTGTTTACGCTCACAGAATTATTCCACGAAGCCTCTCTGTGTGAGTTCAAGGCCCACGCAGAAGAATCAAACCCCAGCAGTCAAGTGGAAAAGATTTGGGGTGGGTCACGTCCTCAGGAGCCACAGAGACAAACATCAGGGCAGCCTTGCCCCTCGTTCCCCACCAACAGGAGAACATGAGTCCCCACCCCAACCCCATCCCCGACACTGACCTTGTGTCCCCCCAGACCCCCCATCCCCGACACTGACCTTGTGTCCCCCCAGACCCCCCACCCCCGACACTGACCTTGTGTTCAAGGTCTCAGAGTGGCTCAGAGGAAAGCCTGGAGCTGTTCAAGGGTTCTGCAGTGGCTGTGTGACAGGCGAGGGCCAGGCCAGCCCTGTAGGCACCATCCACCTGAGCTCTGGGCAGCAGGCAGGACCTTCCCTGGACCAGAGTATTCTATGGATGCTGAGGCTACTCTTTGGAGCTGAAGTTACCAAGGCAGACCAGAGCCACCTGGTAACAGTGCCACTCCAATCAGGAGCCCTGCAGGAGGCCTGGTGCCACTAGCTCTAAGTGAGAGGTCAAGTCAGCACTTAGTACACCAGACTGTGTGGCTGCTGCCTGGAGATCTACTGACCCTGGATGGACTCAAGACCAGGCCAGGGAGGGGCACAGCTCTGCTCAGGAGACCTGCATGGGCATCTGCAGAGATCACGTGACAGACAGGCGATGACCCTCTGATGGCCCGGGGGAAACGGCTGGGGAAACCAGGGCCTCTATCACCTCCCTTCTGCAGCTTCACATTTAGTCCTGACAGCCCCATGACAGGAGGTGACAGAGCCCTTCCCACACTCACCTCACACACATGTCTGCCTCGTACTTCTTCCCATAGAGGATCCCCAGCAGAGATGGGTTCTTGTTCCCTCTGAAGTTCAGGGTCACGTCATAAATAGCTGCGACTGTGGGGAGAAAGCCCAGGACCACTGACAGGAAGGCCGGACACATCCCACAGTGGCAATGCTGCCACCAGACAGGAAATGTCTACACCTGGGTGCACCCCTCCACACTGCAGGGCAATGACTCCCCGGCTTCTTCTGCCCAGCAGTCCTCCTAACTAGAGTATGCCTCCATTCCCAGCTCACTGCCACATGTGCTTAGACCCCTCGGCTGGTGTTGTCGACCTGTCCAGTGCTCTTGGCCCCGTTCTGCCAGTTACATAACTCATTCCAGAAAACTAGACATGCCTGCTCTCATTATCCATCCATCCTTCCTTCCTTCCTCCCTCCCTCCCTCCCTCCCTCCCTTTCCTGACTTTTTGAGACAAGGTCTCCCTGTAGCCCAGCTGGCCTGATACGTACTCTGTAGACCAGACTGCCCTCCATCTCAGAGATCTGCCTGCTCCCAAGTGCTGGGATTGAAGCCGTGCCCCACAATACCTGACCTGACTTTGGTTTTCTGATTTTTTGGTTTTGTTTTTAAACCCATTGCTTTCACTTAAATTTTTAAAATATATTTTATTTTTTATTATTTTTTATGTGTATGAGTGTATTGCCTGCATGTGTGTAAGTGCACCCGTGTCGTGGAATGCCCAAGGAGGTCAGAAGAGGGCACTGGGTCTCCTAGAACCAGTTATGGATAGTTGTTAGCTACCATGTAGGCACTGAGAACCAAACCTAGGTCCTCTGCAAGAGCAGTTAGTGCTCTCAACCACCGAGCCAGCTCTCCATTCCCTCATTTAAAAACTTTTTAAAGTTTATTTTTATTTTATGTATATGAGTATTTTGTATGTATGGATATAAGTATACCATGTGCATAAAATGCCCAAGGAGGTCAGAAGAGGGCATCAGGTTCCCTGAAACTAGAGTTATGTCTGTTGTTAGCTGCCATGTGTGTGCTGGGAACCAAATGGGGGTCCTTTGCAAGAGCAACCTTAACCAGTGAGACATCTCTCTAGTCCCTGCTTTTTTCTTCTTGAGACAAGGTCTCAGGTAGCCCAGCTTGGCCTCAAACTCACTGCTTGGCTGAGAATGATCTTGAGCTTATACAGCCAGATATGACCATGAACTCCTGCCTCCACATCCTGAGTGCTGAGGTTAGGGGCCTGGATTACCATGCCTGGTTTCTGTGGTACTGAACCTAAAACCTGATGCATGCCAGGCAAGACTTCACCAACTGAGCTATATCCCCAGCCGTTTAACCTCTTGTGGCACAGAGTAGCCTGGAAGGCAGTGGTGGGCTCCAATGCCTCACCATCAGTCCTAGGCCCGTACCTGTCCCCCGGAGGCACTGGACTGCAGTGGTGAAGCCCTTGGTCCGGGGCAGCAGGTGGTACTTGAGTGGCGGCAGCCCCTTGGAGGCGGCCACCCCCATGCTGACTCGGTGCTTGGTCTCAGTGAAGCGTGTTCCTTCACAGTACAGGAGAAACTAGGCACAAAATGAACATGGGGTAGGGACAGGCAAGAGGGTCATTCCAGGGCAACAGGGGTGGGAACCAGGGCCCTGCTGTTCAAGACTCAGAATGTTCCAGGTCTCCCATGTCATCCTGAGCTGCAGCAAAGCACTTACTGCCAGCTGTGTAGAAACTACAGGATCCCTCCAGTGATGAGCACATGTTGTTTTATTTTAGGGCTACAGTCTGCACTCCCCTTCCATCACTCAAATGCACATATACAGACAGCATGGTTTTCCTGAAAGAACTCTCCAGAAAGTGAAACCCGAAGGTGTCTCTGGGCAGCAGCCTCAGAGCAGAAGGCAGAAAACAAAGTGTCTGCTGTCTCCAAACAGGGGCCAAAGTGTGAGATTCGGAGCCAGGTTTCCAAGGACAGACCAGAGAAAAGGAGCCGTGCAGGGTGTGGGGAAGGTCCTGCTCTCTCCCTGAACCCAGGGGGTGGTGACTGCCAAAGCTGGGCTTGTGGTGGAGGGGACATGTGGAAGCTGTGACAAGGGACGAGGCCAAGCCAAGACTGCAAGGCAAGGGGTGAGTCTCATAGGCTTGTGTGTGTGCGCATGTGCACACGTGTGTGTGTGTGTGTGCATGTATGGAGGCAGGGGGTCAACTTCAGGTGTGGTTGCTCGGGCATCAGTCACCTTGTTTTTTGCAACAGCGTTTCTCATTGGCTTGACGCTTGCCTACTAGACTAGGCTAGTCAGCCAGTGAGCGGCAGAGATCCACCTGCTCTCGCCTCCCAGGAGCTGGGGCTACATGCGTGCTCACCGCATCTGGCTTTTTCATTTGGGTCCTGGGGATCTGACTCGGGTCCTCACGTCTGTGTGACAAACTTTACCACCCAGCCAGCTCCCCAGCTGGGGCTTTCACAACTTCTACCTTGGGCCTCAGCACACAGGACTGAGTGGCATCTACAAGCCACTGCCGTCTCAGGATGTCGCACAGCGCACTCACCCACATGTACTCCGGGTAGTCAGCCAAGCGCTTCAGCCCCTCTACGACGGTGTCCCTGTCCTCCTCCCACTTCCGTTTGCAGAACACAATCTCCAGGAAGTACCATGTCCAGCCAATGAGAGGAACACACAGCAGCTCCCTCTTGGCCAGCACTTTGGAGCTCTGTGGGGAGGGGGAAGGGGGCATTGGCACCTGCCAGAGGTGGGGAGGGCCTGGCCAGACCCCGGAGAAGCGCACATGCACAGCCCTCACAGCCACCCCAGGGCCTTATACTATGCTTTATTTACCTGATTCAGTGTTCGCTATACATGGGAACCTGGCTTCTGTGTTACTTGGATCAGCACCCCTCAAGAACACATAGGAGTCACCCCAGAAATGAGGATACAGTGTAAGGGCCAAATCCTTGGGGGACGGCCATGGCAGATGGTGCCTAGGTTCTAAGCCCCTCCCTGACCTCCATCTCCATGTCATGAACTAGGATCCCTCTCCACAGGGGCTTTGCTGCACTGAATCCCTGGGCCTCTAGTGTAGTTTAAGTTCCCCTGAGGCCACTTAGCTAACAGAAGTAATTCTGTAGGCCTTGGGCGCAGGCCTCTGCAAGGTAAAAGGTAATGACAAGAACTGAAGTCACAGCTGGTCCCAAGAATAAGTTGGGGACCACAGAAGGCACCCTGCAGGCAGGATCTCCAGATTAGCCAGACTGCCTGCTGTGAAAGGACCAAGTCAGGAGGTATCCAAGGAAAGAGCCTCTAGAGTCTTGGGGACAGCAGACCTCAGAGGGTTCACTCTGGGAACTCTACCCTGACCTCACTGATCCAGCACCTCCCTGACACCCCTAGCCCCTCCATTCCATCAATAACCCCAGGCCCACCCCAGCCCCTCCCTGGCCCCGCTGCTCACCCCCAGCACGCCAAACCGCTCACACATGGTCCACCCACAAAGGAAGTCGATCTCAAAGTTGTGGTTGAGGATGATGACCACGTGCTCCTTCCCGAAGTGATCCACCGTGGCCTGGTCCGTAAAGAGTGTGCACTCCGTGCAGGACCACCATTCCAGGAGCATGACCAGCTCTGCAGGAGGATGGGGTCAGCACTGAAGGGTATCCTCGCAGTACCTCCCCCCCGACCCTCGGTTCTCCAGACTAAAACCGTTTTCATCTAGAGGGGACCTTTCTGCCAGTAATGAGTTCTCTGGCTGTGTTTCCTGAGCTTCCCTGAATCACAGCCACTTTGTCTAATGAACGCCGGGTGGGGACAAATGGACCCTACTGCCTCAGACACATGTATGTGACAGGTACCTGTCACATGACCATGGGACTGCTTGTGTGGGAAGATGGGAGCTGTGTGGTAACCGGGAGGGAGAGTACCTCTGCAGCACAGGATTAAGGCTTGGAAGGTGACAGCAGTGAGGCTGGACACATGACTCGTCTGTTGTGTGAGGTAAGGCTGCTGGTCATAGTCCTGCCTACTGCAGGCCTGTGGAGGGCGCTTATGCTGTGTACTGGCCAGGAGGCCACAGGGCTCCCACAGGCACCGAGACCATGTGTTTCGGGAGCTTTGGGTGTACTCAACGGCTGATTCCAGCATCTCCACAGAAACGTGGACGGTCACTGGCATGCTAAGACCCACCTCCACCATTCTGCCTAAAGCGCACAGGTTGCTTTAGGATGAGCCTGGACCGTGGCACCTGTCTCCTCTGGGAGGTTCAAGAGAAGCACTCACTCATCTTCCCAAGAACATCAGGGCTGGAAGGTTTCGTGGGAGGAGCTGTGCACATGCTTGCTCAGTACAGAGCTCAAATGTAGAGGAGTCCCAGCGGGAGGTCCAAGGGGGCAGACGCCCAGGTGCACAGGGAAAGGGGCAGGGTACCCCATGCTGTGCAGTGGGAGGCACACCCCCCATGGCATCCTCAAAGGACGACCACACAGGGTGCAATTTGCACATGCAAAGTGGAAAGGCACTGTTTTAGATTGTGTGGGTCACAGGAAGCCCTGTGCTTCGGACACTGGCTCCACGAGGGGACCCTCCAGAGTCCTCTGCAAAGAACTGGCCCCTGGGGACATAGGACCCCACAAGCATGGGCAAGAATGAGGGCCAACAGGAGCCCCGTGCGGTCCTGGATGGACCACCCAATGGTAAAGCTGCTCTGGGAGTCTACGGGGGTTCGGGGTCCTCACTGTGTCCAGCAGCACAGGCCAGGCGCACGCCTCAGCACAGCACATGCACCTACACAGAACAGACCCGTGGCCGCTGCTGCAGCACCCCCCCACCTGCCAGACAGCAGAAACTGCACGGCCCTCCACTGGTGAGTGCACATCTGAGCCGCAACACAGAACCAAGCTCTGATGGACCAGGACAGAGCTCTGGAGGACGAGCTCGGAGGTAGAGCCAGCCACGGGCCACAGCCGAGTGCCTGCAGCTTGGTGCCAGTCCACACAGACCACAGAGTCCACCATGAGGGTGCAGGGGCAAGGAGTGGCTGTAGATGGGAGCCAGGCTTCCTTTGCGGTGACAGCATTCGCTTGGGCCGGTGGTGGCTGCAGTTGACCTGCACACTCTCAACAGTGCCTTTCCACACAGTGAAGAAACACAGCAAGGCGGAGGTAAGGCTGGGCTGCCCATCTGGAAGGGGAACCGTGGACCGGTTCCCGCCATGGGAGGGGCACAGGTGGAAATGAGCCACACGGCACTGGCTGTTTCCTGGCCAGCAGCCTTCCACTGGTTCCCTGGGGACAGCGTTGAGCTGCGGTGCTAATACTGTCCGAGTTCAATTGGTGGACAGACGCAGGGACTCTTCTTCTTAAACTGAGAGGTGAGTTTGTGGTTGTGTCCAGCACAGCAGCACTGACTGGTACAGGCCTGTCTGGAGCCTGCCCACCCTACAGAGCAGACGCAACACCTGCTGTTCAACAGCTCCCAATCCCTCCCGGCTGTGCCCGCTCTGCAGTCGGCTTCCATGGGCTTGGCCACTTCGGCTAGCATGGCTTGGGTGGGCAGGGTCACCGCCTAGCATTTGCCTGTGTTTGGCTCATTTCATCTGCAAAATGGCTACACTCTTCATGCACTCCTGTTCATTGCCGAGTAGTAGTCCCACAGCCCCCATCCCCGAACTCCCCTGCTGGTGGGCTCTCACAGCTCCTTATCTTTTATCAGTGACACTGTGGTGTCCAGGGAAGGTGGGTGTCTTGGAGGGGAATGCTTTACAACACTGCCCCTATCAACAGCTTGAGAGACAGCCACACGGATTTGACATATTGCTTTACCGGTCAGGGGCATTTGTGGGTAGTGCAACAGTCAGAACCTGGGCCCCAAAGCCAACACCTGGGACCAGGCTCCTTCTATCAAACTGAGGGCTGGTGGAAGGCCACAGAGCCTGCACAATATGGTGATCAGAGCAGAGAGGCAGTGATGGACCCCGAGTCTGAGAACAGTTCCTATGATACTGTGTGAAATGCGCAGCTGGGACAGCCTCTCGTGGCAAGGGCTGCAGGACACAGGCAGGACAAGGCTGTGCCCCTAACTTCTGCCTCAAAATTTCTTACCTTTCTGGATTTTTTTCTATTTGGTTTTCTTTTTGAATAATGAACTTTTTCTTTGCTTCTTTAGGCCTCCTCACCCTCCCTTCATTTGGGGACACTCAGGACATTACTCAGGCTGCCTCGAACCTACTGAAACTTCCAAAGAGCTAATAGACACAGGTGCACTCTCACGTCTGGCTTAACCCGTCTTTCCTGATACTTTGGAAGTTATGTTTGATTTTCCTTTTTTCCCCCCTTATTCTCAGTAATGACACCTAAGGAAAGATCTTGGTCCTCCCCTGACTGACCCCAGCAACAGACCAAGACCTACGTCTGGCTTAACCCGTCTTTCCTGATACTTTGGAAGTTATGTTTGATTTTTCTTTTTTCCCCCTTATTCTCAGTAATGAAACTTAAGGAAAGATCTTGGTCCTCCCCTGACTGACCTCAGCAACAGACCAAGACCCCTTCCTTGGGGTTACCCACTGGTTGCTGCACAGGCTGCCGCCTGATCTGCCAGTACACATACTGGGATGGCAATCAGCCTCACTGCTTTTGAATTTGCTGGCTCCTGATGTCTCTGGCTGCTGTTCTTTCTTGAAACCCAGGCCCTACCTTTATGACAGCCTTTGTTCTTAGGAAAGGGCACTCCTTCGAAACAATAGAGACACCAGTCTAATCAGTGTACCTGCCTCTGCTGACCCACACCGGCTGCCACTGTCATCCATTCTGTCCTTTTCCTAAGAGATCATCTTGTGATCTCACATTGAGGCTGATGATAATCTGCATCCTCCAGCGGAGGGTGGCCCTCTGGCAAGGGTGGCGGTGGCTCCCTCTGGTGCCCTGAGGCTCTTGTGTCTCGGATGGTTTCCGATGTGCCCTGGGCGACATCCGGCTTCCCTTCCCTGCTTGGTGCACTTCTGCTCCCTAAGTCATGTCGCCTCCTCGGGTTTCAGGGGCCGAGCCCTGCTTTAGGAGCCATGATCCACCCCAACGCTGTCTCTACATTGTGTATTTGCCGTCACACTCAGGACCCATCGTCCTTGCAATCTGCTCCATGCACGCCCTTGCTACGTCTAATCTGATGCAAAGTCCACCAAGTGTTTAGAGTTTTGCTCAGCCCCTTCTCCAAACGTGATTTCTCGTGGTCTTCTGCATGTGCTGGTGCATCTGCTGTTCTTGGCTGAGGTCCACCCTGGCTATGGTCAGTCTGTGGGTCTCTGTGGTTCCCCATGTACCCGCTCATTTCTGCTGAGGCTGGAGCCCTGCTAACCCGGCTCCTCAGCCAGTCACACAGGTGGTAGTCAGGGACCCCCACAGGTGACACAGGGCTGTGGCCGGGGACCCCCACAGGTGACACGGGGCTGTGGTCGTGCTTCCTGTTCTTGCTGAGAGATTTCTTTTCCTTCAGGACTTGGCTGTGTGTGCTGTTTTGGGTTCCAGGTTCTACTAGATGTTGGAGTCTGCACCTTGTAATTGTTAATATTTGCCTTTTTAGTGTGTATTGTCATATGAATAACTCGGCTGTGTGCTTTAGATGATGGGATTCCTAATCACCCTTCACACCGTGCGGTCTTCTATTTTCAGGCAAACTGAGAAGGGGAGTCAGGTGGAGACGGCTGCCAGTGACTCTGAGCTGGAAGGGGACAAAGGTACAGGGCCCACACCACGTCCCCTCTCGGTTGATGCGATGGTATGGCACATTATGCGCTGACCTCCTGCTCTCCGAAGCTGCGGTCTCCCCCACCCCCTTGCCTGTCCTGGCTGTGACAGCTGGACATAAACTGCAGCACACTGCACACTGTGTCGTAGCTGCCTTTTCCACCAGAACTGCATTTGGAAGAGGGGCCTGTGGTATAGAGGCTGCCCCGTTCTGGGTGGCTGTATGGGCAGCCAGTGGAAGGACATTCCAGACTGACTTCTACTAGGCTCCTGGGTTACTGTCAGCTTCGGGCCCATGACAAGAGGAGGGTGGTTACGGGGCGTTATGTCTGAGGGCTCTCCAGGCTGTGTTTGCTCTTATTTTGCCAAATGACTGAGTCAAAGTGATATCATGTAAACTGTAGGCAGCCAGGTTAGTGCCCCCCACGTTGATGTCACCCCCACGGCATGCAGAGCTCGTGTCTATCTGTCATGTAGAGGCAGAGATAGTTTCATGTGTAAATGTGCTTCTGCACTAGCACAACCTGATGGACAGGCAACAGCCACCTGTGGCCAAGGGGTGTCCTTGAATTTGGCAATTCATTTCCAAATGTGCACAGGCACAGTGACACACATGCCCTGTGCTGGGACAGCCGGGTGTTCTGAGCAACATGATGGGCTGTGTGCTAGAGGCCAGGTCACAGGTCACTGAGCCAATCACTCTCTGTGCTGTGGCTGGTTGGAAACACCCATGGTACCATGTGATCATGTGAAGTCTCCATTGCCGGGAGTCACACAGCCCGATGTAGACTACCATGTCACTGATTTAGTGATGTCACTCTGGGCACCTGTTCACATGGCTCCCAACACAGTGTGACCTCAGGGAGACTTGAGCTGCGCCTAGCTCTATTCTGGGATGGAGTGCAGGGTGGGGCCCTGTCCTTACTGCTCCTTGAGAGCCCTGTCGGGGGAGTCCCCTTTCCCCCACAGAGGAGCCCATGACCCCATATGGGCAGGAGACACTCACGGCTCCAGAGCGAGTAGGCCAGGCGGCAGTTGACACGGCGGTATAGTTGCTTGCTGATGGGCCAGAGGGCCAGTGTGCACAGCTGGATGAAGTTGATGACCAGCCCACTAACCACGAAAACAAAGCCGATGAGCAGGTGCACCACAAACTGGGTCTTCAAGTAGGCAAGCAGGCCCATGGTCGCTGCTCAGGGGTGGGTGCACGGTCCTTCACTGAGAACAGCCGTCCTATAAGCATAGGACATCGCAGTCAGTGTGTGTAGGGACCCGGGATAGGCCACACTGTCCTCACTCAGGACCCTGGGCTGCCAGGATGGAGACATTCTGTCGTGCCAGCCTCAGAGAGCGCAGCTCCCTCTAGAAATGGCAGGGCATGTGGATTGAGAGGCAAACGCTGTGCCTGTGTGCATCACAGACACAAACACATGCATGCACACACATACACCACACTCACATCACATGCAGTCACCCACACCTGTGTACACACAACACTAGGTACTACACCCCGAGGACATGTGCACAGCAGGTCCCACTCTCATGATGGAGACAATGCTTTGTGCCGTGTAGGGAGGAAGGCCTCAGTTCCAGCCAGACCTCCAGGTAACCAAAGCTAATGACAGCTTAGCTAACTGTGACTGAAAGAGCACCCCAGCCACTTGGTTAAGTCACTGGGTTTGGAGTTAAACAGCAATGGAAGAGCTGGGCGTGGTGGTACACACCAGTAGTCCCAACACTCTGGAGGCAGAGGCAGGTGGATCTCTGTGAGGTCAAGGCTAGCCTGGTCTATACAGTGAATTCCAGGCCAGCTGGGGCTACAGGGAGACCCTGTCTCAAAAAGAGCAAGAACAAACAAAAAACAACACCCCCCCCCGGGCAGCAATAGAAGATTATTACACCATTCTAAAGGACAGAAATATTCACAACACTTTCCAGACATAACGATGCGCCAAGCCTTGACAAACACATCTCGGGTCCCAAGTTGACAACAGCCATGAAACCCCATGGAGCAGGTGCTATCAGTACTGTGCAACACGTGAGCAAGCAGGAGGGCAGGAAAGTCGAGCGATCTGCTCAGGGTCACACAGGGTCTAACTGGAGAGAGATCCCACACTCATGTCCCAAGGTCATCCCTCATGGGCAGGGGCCTTCACGCTGTGTGGCCTGATACCTCAGAGCTGCCTTTCACACCACAGAGATGGATCTGAGTAGACCGCAGGCCAGGAGAGGGCAGATCTCCGTAGCCATCACCTGGCTCCAGTTTGGCCATGGCAGCATGACCCAGCAGCCCAGGAAGACAGGGCAAGACTTGCCATCCCAGGCTCCTGTTCAGGGCCTCTCCACTCTGCACCTCACACACTGATGTGTTGTTTTCAAAGCAGATGTTCAGGCTCCGTGTCAAACCCGCCAGTTCCATGGTCAGGGCCCCAGGCACAGACTCTGATTTTTAAAATTAATTAATTAATTAATTAATTAATTTATTTATTTATTTATTTATTTATTTATTTTTGGTCTGAGACAGGGTCTCCCTGTAGCCCCCAGCTGGCCTGGAACTTGTTATGTAGACCAGGCTGGCCTTGAACTCACAGAGATTCACCTGCCTCTGCCTCCCAAGTGCTGGGATTACAGGTGTGCACCGCCACGCTCAGCACAGACTAATAAACTTCAGTCTTTACAGAGTCAAAATGCACCCACTGAGTGACAAGTTTCAGTGGCCAAATGACGTCCACCCTGCAGAGTGAGCCATCCAAGTCATTCGCACCCAGGACACTGGCAATGTGCAACCTTTGCTCTTCTGATTGGATTTTCTTTTCCAGGGAGTGGCGTGGTTTGGCGCCTGGCTGGCCCTGCATCATGGAGGCTTAGCCTTGTTGTTGTCCACAGCAGCTCCAGTGTCCACTACAGAGTCCTCAGCTGTCCTCCAGCAGCTGACAGGCTGGGTGTGTCCAGTCACTGGGGATCAGGAATGAAGGTGCCACCACTGTTTCCACTCCAGTCTGTGAGGACAGCTTTCTTGGCACAGCCTGCTTTAGTGGCCATCCGTATTACACAGTGGTGGCCTCCTGCTCTGCCCTGGAGTCTCGGGACTAGAGAGAATTAGTGCAGAATCCTGGGTGAACCCACGCCCACCCTCAGCATGGCATTACTGCCTACCACATGCCCCTCTGGATCTCTGCTGTCCCAGGTCCGGCTTTGAGGTCATTGTCCCTGGGAGTAACCAACCTTGATAAGGACAGATGGACTTGGCCAAATGCTAGCCTAGAGCTCCGCTCAGGATGGAGACTACCACTGCGCTTCAGGGCCCATGACACCTGCCTCGTCTACCCTGAAGCATCTAACACAGTGTCCCTCCAGCTGTCTACTGGGTCCCTGGTCATCCCGAATGTGTCTTTGCTGCAGACCACTGGCCTGATCGTCACTCTCTACTCCCCGGGCATCCCAGTGATAGACACGTGGCCTCCGTGCTCACTGTAGGCCACCCCTGGGTTCCCAGGACTGTCTCCTGATCGGCTGTTCAGCTTCAGTGCTACACACAGGTATGGCGGTCAGACCACTGACCAGCCCCTGCTCCACTGCCCTTCAGGGCCACAAATATTGGCCCAGGTGCCCTCAAATCAAGGATTTTAAATTTGTTTTTATTTTTAATTTATGTGCATATGTACGGCTGTGTACATAAGTGGAAGTCAGAGGTGTCAGATTCCCAGGGAGCTGGAGTTACAGGTGGTTGGGCGTCACCTGATGCGGCTGCTGGGAATTGAACTCAGGTTGTTGGAAGATCAATACATGCTCTTAATCCTGAACCATCTCTCTAGTCCTCAAAGCAAGTTTTAAAAAATTGTCTCCTAGGCCAGGCATGGTGGCGCGCACCTTTAATCCCAGCACTCGGGAGGCAGAGGCAGGGTGATCTCTGTGAGTTCAAGGCCAGCCTGGTCTACATAGTGAGTTCCAGGACAGCTGGGGCTACAGGGAGACCCTGTCTCAAAAAGTCTAAAAAAAAAAATTGCCTCCTCAGACCACAAGTTCAAGTTGACATCTCTACGTCTTCAAACCTGAGCTTAAATGTGCAGAGGGCGCAGATTCTGAGACACTGGGAGGTTCAGTCTTCTAAATGCAGCTGTAGACAACGAGTCCGCAGAGGTCTGATACCGCAGTGGTGGTTTCAAGGTCTTCCTGCCCACTCGCTCCCAGTGTGTCTCCACTGAGCTCTGGCTGCAAGACTTCATCACCAAGGCACACCAAGTCTCTTTGATGTGACATCATGGCACACCAATTCTCTTTGGCATGACATCATGCTTGAAAGCTTTTTATTGCTCACCTTGTCCCAGCACAAACGTGACATTTCATCCTCACTTGGATACTTCTAAAACACAGGCTCAGACCTCGGGACTCCACGCTCGAACCATGAGTGTCAGTCTTGTGAGCTGGAATCACCTCACACTGCCATGACCACAGCACAAACTTGAATCCTCCATGACAGCAGTTCAGCACATTCACCTGTGACTCTGGGGACACCGCCTGGCACCTTCTAACTGGGCTGCTTCCATCTCTGTTCTTTACCAAGGCTCCACAGTGGATGTCTGGTGGGGCACCTCGCCATCTAATGTGGCCACTTCCCCACATTCACTTTAGGTTCAACATTTCTAGCCAAGAAAACTCCACAGAACTGGACGGACAGCTGGCCCCGTTCAAAGGAGACACCCGACACTCCTCTGTCACTGGGAATAGTGCCTCCAGACGCCCTGGATCTAAAAGCACGGCACCGAGGAGCAACTTCGATTCCTCCCAGTCCTGCCCTCAGCCGGCCCGGGACTTTGAGTCTGTACAACTGCCCTACAGTGGAACTGCACTCTCAGGCTCCAGACCTGTCCCCATGTGCCCTCTCAATGCCACCATTCCTGTTCTGATGTCTGGGACCTGGTGTGACCTCTGGAGCCTGGGCAGGATTTCTGGAGCCCGGATGCCCAGCAGCTGAAGGGCACAGTGACTTGTCCAGCTCTTGGGGCACCTGTCCCGGGCTTTCTCCTGCCCCTCATGAGATCAGTCTGGCATCTGTATGTATTCTGAGGGTTCTGAGGCAGACATGGCTGCCTCCAGGGTTACATCATGTCACCTGAGCAGGCTGCCAGAACCAGGCTCTACCAGGACCAGGGGACCACAGGTGGGAGGCAGGGAAGCCGCGGCCTCCAAGCTCAGGCAATTGCTTGCCAGCTGGGGAGGAGGGCGGCGTAGCTCAGTAAATCTGTGCTGATAACAGGATTAGTCGCACTGAACAGCAGCACGCACTCTAAGTGTACCTTGCCTGGGTCCTCAAGTGCCACCACAGCAGAAGCTTAAGATGCTGCCCCCTAGGGGTGGCCCTGAACTCCCTAGTCTGATGGGGAGGACTGGGACCCCAAATCAGACCCTCCTGTACATATAACACCCACCCAGAAGTGAGACCTTTATCTGATGAAGATGAGAACCACAGGCCTTTCTCTGAGATATCTACGGCTCAGGGGGCCACCAAGCCAGCCCACCGCGCACAAGAAGGGCCTCATCTGATCTCCTGGTCTATGTCACCTCACTATGAGTAAACTGAGTCACCCCCAGTGGTAAACCCAAGACCTCTGAAGGTGACCGCCCTTAGAGACAAGGCCTCAACAAGGTGATGAAAGTAACCAGGGTCAGCTCTGATCTAATGACCCATGTGCTCAGTGGAGCACAGGGAGTCGGCTCTGCCAGCAACCAAACCCTGGGCCTGGTCTCCAGAGAAGAGACCCTCAATCCTGCAGGGCAGCCCAGGGCCTGGGCATTTATATGTCTCTCACAAATACTCAGGCCTCCTGTCTCTCACAAATACTCAGGCCCTCCAGGTCCCTTCTCACAGCCTGCTTCCTAGCCACACACAGTCCACCCGTGGTCCTGTTCCCCCAACCCCACCCCTGCTCCCTGACAGCTCTCCCCACACTTGGTACGTCTGACCTGCTTCCTCAAGAACCAATGGTACAGAGAGCCCTGGGGACCACCTCCCAGGCGTGCCCTCCTCTCTGCCAGAGCCCTATCTCTCTAGAAGTGTGCAAATCCCTCCTTTCACCTGCCTGGCACAGGCTGAGCATCTTTCAGAGATCAAAGCTGGCATTCAGGGGACAGTGGCTGGCCAAGGGTAGACATGTACATATGGCAAAATGCACAGCTTTGACGTTCCTGAGAGGAGACTTGAATTACAGGGTGAGGCCCTTTCCTTGTGGATG